CTTCGGTGGGCATTGTGTTTGTGAAGGTCGGCTTATGGTCGGAGGTTTTTCTATAATATTGAAAATGTGGAATCTGTTTAATAGTAATGTTATTGCATGGATTTTATAATAATATAGAATAGAAACCCCTCATAAATGTAGGGTAAGAATATTTACTGTAACTTGTGCTAAAATATGACATTTAAAGAAGAGTTAAGAAGAATACAAGATGAAAAACGCATTCCATATAACAAATACATAGTTCAACATATAATAAATTCACACATAAATTCACCATTTAAACCTGAAAACTGGGGTGAATAAATCACAAATGTTGATTTTCAGATGGAAAATATTTTAGGCCCATAAACATTCAAGAAATTTTGCGATGAGAGAGGGACATTATACCCAATTTTACCACGTTTAGTCGACAAACATTATGGAAAAACAGATTATTATTATTAGTAGTAATACCTAAATATGTCAACATTGTTCCATGGTACCGTCACAATATGAAAGATTCTGAAAACAACTGAATCCAGCATGGTTTTCCAGTATGTAGCTGATGTTTCCAGTAGGTGTTTTGTTCTGTTCCTCCACTAGATGGCAGAAACACACTGGTTTTCTCAGCTCTAGTCGTGTGGATTTACTAAACTGAAGGAATTGGGTTAACATGACCCTCACAGATATCTCCTCTGTCATCGTGATACTCGAATAAAGCTGCTTGAGTGTTTTGGAAGAACACAACTTGATTAAATGTATGATAGTCACGCAACACAAAATTCAGTCCAGAAATAAAGTCTGAATGCAACACCACAGATTATACTTGCTTGACTTCAACCAACACTTTAACATTTCTGCCTCAGAGGGTTCAGATGTCCGTCACAGCGAATTCACATGCTGGAAAACTAATCTCCCTCTCTCACACACGCACACAACTAACTAACCTCTGCCACAAACACTTGGCAAAATAGGCGAAGCAACTTTCTCTATTTACGGATATGACGACGAGTTACACACGGACCAATAATGTATGTGCGCAGTTTCTCACCAAAATCAGCCTGACAGGACTAAAATATAAACGTTTACCATGGTAAATTAGGGTCAGAAAAAAACATTTTGAACAAAAATATTAACATAGGCTACCTGTGTTTTATAACGTGACTTGAATAGGGTATAGACCATTTCACAAGATGTAAACAACACTGGTCCAGAAGCACTTCCTGTTTCAGTTTGTAACTGTTTTCTTTATTTCACATGTGAAGAAAACATCTTAAAGATGTTTGTTTAACTTTTTGATTCAGTTTTAAACGTTCTGTTGGTTGTATTTTATCCCAGCTTTAGTGTTAAAAAACTGAAACAGGAAGTGCTTCTGGACCAGTGTTGTTTACATCTTGTGAAATGGTAAGTGTCATACATGTAACTGTTTGATAATGGCATTGATACTAAGTTCTTATAAAAAGTTAGTAATATTAAGATGCAGATGTATTTATTCAAGTGCATATTTTGTTTTTTTCTCAAAAAAAAAAAAAAAAAAAAGTCCAACCAGGTCTACCCCAGTTGACAAGGACTTAATTGTCCTAATCACTGTCTGTCCTCATTTCAGAAGTATCTTAACAAAAAACGCTGAAGTGTCATTACGAGAGCGTGAAAGCATCTTTATTTTTTTCTTTTGAAAAAAATGTAGCTATAATAATATTTCTGACTTGACGTCTATCATACAGCTGCTTTATACTCACAGATCATCCACAAACAATAACACGAAACATATTAAAAAGCTCAAATGATTGGTGAACAAACCATACAGTATAAGAAGTGGACAGAGCATAGACAGTGGGACAGAGCCATCTCATTGAAACTCCATTGAGACAAGTGAAGCCCGTTTTTGGCGATTTTTTTAGCGCTTCCGTTCCTGACGCGCAGACTCAAACAGAGCTTGACGAGCAGCCCATCTGTCTTCTAGTGGCTGTGGCATTAGAAATCTGAATCATTCCCTTCCGAAACTTGCAGAGGTGGAGAGTGTGAGCAAGAGAAACTTCTCTAGGTATTCTGATTAATTATTTTGTCATTTTGCCTCCACGTTTCCCCGATTGCCCGCGAGCTTCTCCTCCTGTCCATACAGTAGCCTAATCTCTGTGCGACAGAGAGTCGCTTGGTTATGACGCAATCTACTTTTACAAAAAAACTGCTTCTACGGGGCCATAACATAAGCTACAAGGTAATGGAGCATTTTATACATTGTCGTGTAGGCTATCTTTAGAAATAAATAATGGACAAATGAGGTCTTCAAACGCCTCAGATGTAAAGTTATTCGCTGTCAAAGTGACGCCAAAATGAATGGGAGTCAATGGAAATGCTAACGCGAGTGAAGTTCTGCTACAAGATGGCAGCTCCCGCGAAGCTTCAACTTCCGGTCGATGGATTACCCCCTTGGAACAAACCCACACACAGAATAATCATTCGAGTTTTATTTTCATTTAATGGACCAATCCACATACAGTGAAAATCCTAAAGCAAAAAGGTCAGGTAGTTTTTCAGGTAAGATGCATGAACAGTACAACACTAACAGGTTTCCATGATCTTCAAACAATTAGACAGTCAAACCAGGATCTTACAGTGTCTATATGCAGAAAAATAAAGATCACCCAGAAATCATCATTCACCAACGAGTCAGAATCGTCTCGTGTTTTATCCAGATTCAGAAGGACTCGAGCGAGTAAACGAGGCCAGAACGGGTTCAGGAAGGTTAAAATTACAATAACATCTCCAGGAAAACTATATTCTATTCACAGTCTGACTCCTATACCTCTTGAGAAATAATTGTTTGTTGCAAATCAACTGACACTATAATCTGCATGCAGTTTCATCATGTTTCAGTATCCAGAGAAGTAAACGTGTTCGACTCGAGCAGCAGATCGTTTCGCTATTATCATAATGATTTATTTACAACTGAGAACACGTGAATTCTTCTTGTTATTTAGCTCTGAGAGTCGCTGTATCTGGCTTAAAAATCTTCATCACGGAATGGAGTAAAACACGCTTTGATTTTCTATACATGCGATTAGAATATCACACCAATGTCTGTTAGCGGCGGGTCGAGCAGAGTTCATTCACAACTGAAGATTCGAGAATCGGTTCCTTTGAATCGGAACCGAACATATCAGAGGGACGCTGCTGCTTTGAGAATCCCAAAGAAATGCAATACAGTCACACAAAGGAACTCCATTAGTCAACACAAGCTCTAAAACATAAATATTTACATCATTATTATTTTTTTGACTAATTATGTTAATTCATTCCCTGACACATAGATGCATTTTCTTCTCAGCTGAGCAGACTGATCTAAACTAAGATAAATTGTCAAAATAAAAGCCTTCAAAACAGATCTTAATTTGTAACAACAACGGTCCACCATTCAACTTAAAGATAAATACTACAATCAAAATATGAATCTAATATTAATATTAATATTGGTCAATAAAAATGTAGCTTATTAAATATAATATTATTTAAAATACTTTAGCATTATATTAATTTCTTTGCAAATCACGATTATTTTCGTAAAACTATAAAAAAAAAATATTAATTGAAACAACTCTAAAAAGATGTTTTTAAAAGACTAAAAAATGACTGACTGGAAATAATAAAAAAAAAGCAAAACTTAGACTGAAATAAAAATTAATTAAACCTCAACGAAATGACAAAAAGTACTACATTTAAATTTAAAGTAATTATATTATATATAGTTATAATAAAACTAAACGCTGATTCAAATTCAATATTTCTGCATCCGATTTCAAATTCATCAATTAAACTTGAATGAGAAAAGCATCTGAATCCACTTCTGAATGATGCACAACCCTGATTGTTTTCTGTGAACTATAAGACAGACATTATCTAGAAAATGCAACACAAAAAAGGTGTGTGTATGTCACATGTACAGATGATTCATCTGATTTTTTTTTAGAGCTAGTCATTAATTCAAAGACACAATGGGGTCATTCGTTTCAGATGGGGTGCGGTGGTGTTTCGGGGGGCTGTTAGTTGTTTGTCATGATCCACCAGGACGCTGTGAGAAACAAACAGGCAGATATTAAAGAGATGAAGCATCATAACTCCTCATTAAAGACTGATAAATGATGTGACGCTCTCTCTCTCACCTGGCATGAGCATCGTGGACACGATCTCCGGGTCCTCCAGCATGTCTATGATGCAGCGCTGGAACATCTTACTGGCGTCAGACTGCAAATAACTGGAGACAAACAATCTCATATTACCAGACGATATAATGAACAACATCCTCCAGATGAAAACGGCCGGCTACTTCAGCGCACAGGAGACTAAACTGAGGTTTGAGTTACATGTCATGACATCTGACGTCTCTGTCATGCTTGCAAACTTGTTTATTTGTGCAGTCCCATTAAATGCCACTAGTGGTGCAAGAGCGTCACATTTCAGCTTTAAATATAAGCCAATACATCATGAAAAAAAAAATATGTATCACGGTTTCCACAAAATCTGGTTTCCACGTTGATAATAATCGTAAATGTTTCATCAAATCATCATATTAGAGTGATTTCATCATGTGTGAAGGATCATGTGACACTGAAGACTGAAAATTCAGCTTTGATCCCAGAAACAAATTACACTTTGCTATATATTCACATAGAAAACAGCTATTTTGAATCATAATAATATATCACAATTTTTTATGTATTTTTGATCAAATGAATTAAGTCTTGGTGGGCATACATACAAACATAAAACAAAATAACCAACCACAAACTTGTGAACGGTAGTGTAAATAGATGCAACAAACCGTTTATTAAGGTTTTTATTTATTTGAAGGTGAAACACGCCATCTGCAAACTTCCTCCACAGAAGATAATAACATTCTAGGATTATTCACTGCAAGTTATGATTGATTTCTGAAATGATTTATTTCTTAAATTAGATCAGTGTATCTTTAAGGAGGCCTGCGTGTACTTCACAGCGCTGTCATGAGAAGCATCACGGGTAAC